ACCTCTCCGGCATGGAGGGGCCTCGCGTGGCAGCCCCCCAGCCCCCCCAGTCGGGGTCTCAGGAGAATGCCCCCTAGTGACCAGGGCTGCCCCACCCCGGGCGCCCAGCAGCCCCGAAAGGCTGGGGACCCCGGCGTTGCTCTGTCCGTTCCAGACTGGGTCCAGGAGAATGCCCCCTAGTGACCAGGGCTGCCCCACCCCGGGCGCCCAGCAGCCCCGAAAGGCTGGGGACCCCGGCGTTGCTCTGTCCGTTCCAGACTGGGTCTAGCGTCAGTAAAAGGAGCAGCTGCGTTTCCGCGTTCATCCTTGCACTAGGTGGGAGATTCGGAAACACGATTTCCCGAGGCGGGGGGGAAGCGCTGGGCCGGGTTCCCGAGGGAGGGGGCGGAGTCTCCATCCCCAGAGGGGTTTCAGGCCCGGCCTGGCTGGGATGGTTGAGTTGGGCGGGGCTGGACCCGCTGGCTCCTGAGGGCTCTGCCCCCCCGGGGTTCTGTGAATCCACCCAGGCTGGGTGCTAGGAGCTGGATTTAACTCTCCAGGCCTGACAAGCAGAAAACCCAGCTGTTCGCTGACTGGGGCAGTGGGGCGGGCTTGGGACTCCGGTGCCTGGGGAAATCGGTGCAGGACCCCACGGAGGAGGGGGGCCTGGGAGAGGCCAGGGACTGCGAGGGCACAGACCGGGCTCCCTGGCTCAGAGGGGCGCAAGGGGGCAGGAGGGACAGTTACCCTGGGAGAGCCACAGGCCCATCTACCCTGGTATCCCGGCTCTGCCCAGGCCAGGGCCAGCTGCTCCAGGGGTAGGTTGCCCCCTAGTGGACAACTGCAGAGTGGCCGGTGTGAGCACGCGTCTGGGAACCCCCGACCCTGCACCCCCGTCCGCAGCCAGACGTGACTCAGTCGGCCAGTAGAGCAGGAAATGTTATTGGCTCTCAGAGATACGGCGCAGCGCAGGCGTGATGCTGAGATAGCAGCCAGGGCAGACAGCCTGGTTCTCCTGGGGGAGGGGTCCATGGGCCCCTGAACCCCCCTGTCCTGGACTTAGTCTGCTTCCTTCATGCTTCCCCCAGCTCCCAGGCCCTGACCCCCAGCCAGGTGTCTGTCTCCACCTCCCCCCCTTTGTCTCCCCCTGGGAAGAGTCTTGTTACCTGTCCAGGCTGGGACTGGGTGTCTGGGCCAATCCACATGTGGGGGAGTCAGTGGGAATCACGCACCCCAGTGCAGCTGGCTGGGGACACCAGGTTACAGAACCCTGTGTCTAGGGGATCAAGTCTTTTTAAAAGCCTATGGGAGCCTCCAGTCGTGCTAAGCTCTTGTGGTCAGCTACATCATGTGGCATTGAGTTCCACAGGTCAATGGGAACAACAGCCTTTCAGTGCTGCTCCCTGGCCTGACCTCAGCTCCCGAGCACCCATGGGGAATGAATAGTGCTGGGTGACCTGGGACGGCTCTGGCAGCAGGCTGGGGGGGGGAGAGTTGTCCTCCTGGACCTCACCCCGTGAGGGTCTGCAGGGGGCTCAGGAAACACCTGGGGGGCAGGTAAGAGAAGCTGCAGCCAGGGGGAGGGGCTGGAAACCCTCCCTGGGGGACACTCCCCTCCTTTTAGACCCCCCCTTCCAGCCTGCCCTTCCTCCCACCCCTTAGGGGGTCCTCTGTAACCATCTGGGCCCAGGGACGGCTTACCCTGGAACGGGGGGTGTCCTGCTGGATCCTAGGGGGTTCGTGTCCCTGCCTGGGGTGGGGGGGGGAACAGGCAGCAGCCCCAGCCCCACGGGGAT